CAGTAAGAAAAGTTTATCTTACAAGGTCATGTCTCCTATGAAGGGGAAGAAGTAAGCTAGCTGCTCATACCAACTATGACAAACATCACTAATTTTCAACTTTGGTTAGTTATATGGCTAGTCTATAAAGATCCAGCTATTCTTTTTCCTATTTTGGAATGAAGTAGCAAAGTACTCATGAAACTGATATAGCAATCATGAAGAACAACATTTCAACATTTTCATAAGCATTTCTAGTTTTCTCTTTAGCTTCAATGAAAATTTCTTTATAAAAAAGAATCAGGTGGTGAAAAAGAAATGGAGAGAAGGATGGAGAGACTATCTGAATCTGAACTGCGCCAGTTACTTCATCATAATGAAGCCCCAAATTCCTTAAAACAAGCAGCCATGGAGGTGTCAATCAAAGTCACCACATGGCCCACATGAATGGGTAGGAGGCCAGGAAATCAAGAGGCTCTCCATGCATCTTGCTTATTTTACAGTTAACAAGGATCATGGCAGAAGAGGAGCCAAATTCCCTGTATTCCTAATGAGAAAGAATAAAGGAGATGTCTAGAAGCACTTACAATGTTGTAGAGGATTCCAGGGTTGAGGACTAACTAGCAAATGAAGTCTATCCTCAGAAGAGAGTCTTAGAGCAATCCTGGGCTTCTCCTATCTCATCAAGGTGGGAAAATGTGCATCTGCTTTTGGTATTGCAGATTCTGTCAATGAATATGGCCTTAGTGACAACCCCACAGATAATATCACTACAAAATTCTTCTATGGAAAGAATTGCAAATTTTCCATTTTGTAAAATTCTATTTATATACTGAATCCTGGCTTGGCATGGTTTTCTCCTCAGATGACCTATGAACCTGGTTGCCTGGAACAGGAATGCTGTCCTTTACTTTCCCAGAGCTCTGGGTTTCCCTTCCTAGGAACGAACTTGGGTTGTAACCTCTCCTGGGAGAAGCAGGGTGGCCCAGAGAACTTCTGTTGCTAATAGTTTCCAAATGTTCCCATTCAACTCTACTGGAGAATGGGAAGATAATGGAGGACAGAGAGGAGAACTAATTATTTTGCTGAATAATAACAGTCGTAAGGCCCTGGGAAGATGATATTACCTATACTTTCCTGCTCAGGAATACTTCTTTCCTGAGCATTCTAGAGAAGGATCACATTCAGAAGAAACATAGCTGCTATAAGATAGGTAACCCCACAAGACTCCACCTTGGCAGGCTGATGATAAACTGCACCTGTGACTGACACCTGTGCACTCACCCCAGAGGATGTATAAAAATGCAAGTGTACAAATACTTCTAAGTATTTTCTATGTTGTTTTTTTTTAAAGTAAATTATTGGAAAACTTTAGTATTTTATTGTTTTAAAACAAGTTTCTCAGCCACACTGCAATAAACAAAGCCAACCAATAAAAATTAGTTTCTTTTCTACAATTAACGTATGAAAGGGAAATTATAAAACAATTCCATTTATAATAGCATAAAAAATGTCAATTAACTTAACCAAGTGGTGGAAGATTTATACTGAAAGCAGCCAAATATTGCTGAAAGAAATTAGGGAAGATATAAATAAATGGAAGTATATACCATGTTTATGGATTGAAAGACTTAACATTGTTGCAATGTCAATAATACCCAAAGTGATCTGCAGGTTAAGGCAATCCCTATGAGAATCCCAATGATGCTCTTTGCAGAAAGAGAAAAACTCAATCTAAAATTCAAAAGGAATCTCAAGACATCCTGAAGAGAAACCTTGAAAAGAAGAACCAAGCTGGAGGATTGCCACTTCTCAATTTCAAATCTTATTAACAAAGGAGCAGTAATCAAAATAGTGTGAAACCAGCATAGAGACAGACATAGTGAACCAATGGAATAGAATAGACAAGCTGGAAATAAACATACATATGGTTGAATAATTTTGACAAGGGTGCCAACATCATTTACTGAGGGAAAGGTGACTTTATCAAACAAATACTTCTAAGTATTTTTTCAACAAAAAATACCAGAAAAACTGAATGCCTGTATGTATTAGGATAAAGGTGAATTCTCGTCTAATGCCGTGTACAAAAATTAACTTCAAAAGGATCAAAGACCCAAATGTAAAACCTAAAATTCTTAGAAGAAAATATAGGGCAAAAATTTCGTAGCATTAGATATGGCAGTTTTGGATATGACACCAAAGACTCAAATAATAAAAGAAAAAACAAATTAGATGTTACCAAAATTAAAAACTTTTGTATATAAAAGGACACAATCAAGTAAATGAAAAATAACCCATAGAATGGGAGAGAATATTTTCAAATTACATTAAGGGACAAATGTCCTAAATAAATAGAAAACTTCTAAAATTCAACCATAACAACAACAACAAAACAGTCTAAACATGGGCAACAAATTTAACAAATATTTCTCCAAAGAAGGTATAAAAATGGTCAAAAATGACATTAATGGATTCTCAGTGTCACTAATCCTTAGGGAAATGCAAATCAAAACCATAATGAGATACGTCCTCACATCCATTAAGATGGCTACCATGAAAATAAAAATAAAAACAAAACAAAAACAGCAAGTGTCAGTGAGGATGTGGAAAAATTGGAATACCTGGATACTATAAGTGGGATAAAATGATACACTCACTGGAAAATGTGTAGCAGTTCCTCAAAACTTAAAAAATAGAATTACCACATAATTCAGCAATTCTTCTTCTGAGTATATAGCCACAAAAGTAGAAAACAAGAATTCAAAACGATATTACACCCATGTTCATAGTAGTATCATTCACAGTAGCTAAAATGTGAAAGCAACCCAGCATCCCCCAACGGATGAATGGATAAGCAAAATGTGGTCTACACTTACAATGGATGGCTTTACATACAGCCTTGAAACAAGGGAAATCTACATCCTGCAACAGGGATGAGCCTCGAGGGTAGAATCCTGAGTGAAATACACCAGTCACAGGAAGACAAATACTGTACAATTCCACTTACATGAGGTATTTAGATTTTGTCAAAAATCATAGAGACAGAAGGTAGAAAGGTGGTATAAAGTAGAAGGGAGGAATGGGGAGTTTAATGGGTCCTGAGCTTCATTTTACAAAATGAGAAGAGTACTGAAGATGGATGATGGTGATGGTCGCCCAACATTACAAATGTATTTAATACCACTGAACTGTACACTTAAAAATGGTTAGGATGATAGATTTTATGTAGTATGTGTTTTACTTTAATAAAAAAATTGGAAGGTGGCACATGTCAGTAATCCCAGTGACTCCGGAGGCTGAGGCAGGAGGCTGAGGCAGCAGGATCGCAGGTTCAAGACCAGCTCTAGCAACTGAGTAAGGCCCTAAGCAACTGAGCAAGACCCTGTCTCAAAATAGAAAATAAAACAGGGCTGGGGATGTGGCTCACAGGTTGAACACCCCTGGGTTCAATCTCTGGTACAAAAAAAAAAAAATTGGAAAATAGGTAAATAAATATCTTATGTTATACCTCTCAAATGAAGCGAGAGCCTAGATCTAGGAGAGAGCAACTGGAAAATTTCTTCTACCCAAAAGATGTTCCCGTGAAGGCAATAAGTGAACTTCTGCCACTCAACTCTTGCAGCCCAGTGCTGAGTACAACTGAGCAGGCCTCTGAGATGCTCTTATCTAAGTACTGTCTGTGGCTTGCAGGTAGAAGATAATGGAGGGGGTCTAACATGAAAAGACACAATGTGCCTTTTAACCAGCAAGGCTGGCAGGACAGGCCTCCTCTGGAGGCTGGTGAGACAGGCAGGATCTCCCTGAATAAAAAATCTGCATTTCAGTAAAATCCCATTAATGTGTATGCACTTTGAAGTTTGGGAAGCAATGTCCCCATGAAATGACCAATTATAAATTCATCTCCACTCAAACATCTCTCCTCTACTATAAAATCCCTATGACAATCAGTCTTTCCTCTGGGCATCAAGTATAATAAGGCAGTGTAAACCAAACCGGCAGCAGAATGAATTTGCCAACCTTGCAAAAAAATGCAGATTTCACAGGATCGACAGCATAGTATCAGGGAACCTCACAAATCACACACACTGTGGCCACAAGCAAGGGACTGGCAGACTGAGACCTGTCACCCAGTGAAGGGGAGCTAAGCCAGAGGCATGATGACATTCCTTCAAAAGAGGATGATTTGAAGGAATTAAGACAGGCCCTTGTGGGGGGAGGAGGGAATAAGTCCCATGAATATCTTTGTAAAAATGACCTACTTTATGACTGTACTCTGAAAGTCCAACCTAATTTCATCAAAAAACTACTTAAAAATAATTCAACACTCTATTCAATCTTTCGTCGTTCTGAGAAGGAGCACATTGCGTGCTTATGGTTTAAGTTGTATTCCATAAGAGAGATTTTCATAAGTTTTAGTTCTGCTTTGTTTCTTTGAGACAGGGTCTTGCTATGTTGCCCAGGCAGACCTTGAACTCCTGGGCTTCTGAGTACTTGGAACTACAGGTGTGAGCCACCGTGACTGGCTAGTCCTGTTTTCAAAATGAAGTCTAATCAAAAACTTTCTGTTGGTGTTTATCTTGATGTCTGGCCCTTGTTTTAAGAGGATTCGTGCCGAGTGGACTTGGCAGTGCTGGTTTCCCCTCAACAACACTTGCTCAAGAGGAATCCTTACTATGGCATATTCAGGACTTCTACTTTTTATTATTACATGTTAATGAAGTATAGCTATCCATATGTATTACCTCCAAAACGATGTTATGATTGTTTTAAGATAAGATGGAAAGACCAGTGCAAGCTGACCCAGGCCACCCCTCGCCTCCGACATTTGGCATCTCCTGCGGTAGAAACCTCCTGATGTCCCTTCTTGTTGGTGCCTATGGCCATTGTGGGATAACTGATACCAACTCACTCCACAGCTCAGTGAAGAACTCTTTTCGATGTCCTATTTTCTGGTTAAAAGGGGGTTTTATCTGCGGGGTGACCGCCAAAGCGCACATGTAGACTGAGTGGCTGATTACCTTATCCACCATGAGGAAATTCTCCAGTTTCTCTCCATTTTCACAGGTGACATCACCAACCTCTCTTACGGCTCTGGGCAGGATCTCTTGCACCTCCTGGGCAATCATTCCTGTGTACAAAACACTCCAAAAGTTTTCATCCACAGCAGACCTTCCAGGAAAAAAAGCTCCAGGTCTGTATCAGAATAGAATACTGATGGCCATGGGCATCTTTGGAAATAGATTCTTATCCCTTCTCAGTTTTCACTTTGATCTACAATACATTTGAGGCAAAGAAAGTCTGAGCCAAGAACCACCATAGGATTTAAAGTAGGAATGTCATTTTCTCTACTTTTTTTTTTTAACTCTGCCAAATATTGGAAAGGTTGACTAAACACCTTAAAATCTCTGTACATACAAGGCAGTGTGGGGGCATTGGCTTGATTTCCTTTTTCTTATAGGTCTTTGCTCCTAAATGTTCCTTTCCTCTTTAAGATTCCTGGGTGGAGAACACACACCACTTCTCACTCTTTCTCTTACCTAGACCCACTCCACCTCCTCTCTCCATCCCAAGACTGCCCCATGCTATACCTCCCACAGGGTGAGCTGCTATCTGCCCCTAAACCCTCATCTCATGAGCAAGAGGACTCCAGGGAAAAGAAACAACACATTCAAAATACTCCACCAGAACCTTGGGGTGCAAAAGTGGGGGTGTTTTGTAAAGGTGACACAGAAATCCTTTAACCTTTCCTGTGCTAGTGACTATGGGTTTCACAGAAGGTGAGTTACATCATCAGGGTGTTGTCAAATGCAATAACACACAACCTCAAATAAAGAGAGAATTAAAAATTTAATAGCTGACAATCCACAATTAAAATGGGAATTTGTGTGTGTACCTGTTTGATGGCCAGTGTTTATTCCCATCGCAGATGCAAATTCAGGTTTGTAATCGTATTCAACAATCCTCATTTGTGCTATTCTTCTCAGCTGTTCATTTGTGTCAACCTAATTTAATTAAAGAAGAGCAGATTTCACCCGTTTAGATATTTGCTATTCAAATCAATGCCCAGAGTGACCCAGAGAAATTATGGAATATTGACAATGGCACTGTTCTTCTCTTCCAAATGAGTTTAAGCGGGATTTCTGGGTTTCTCAGAGAATCCAAATTTTTACGGTTTTTATCAGTGGCTTCCATCTAATGACTAATAAATGAATCCAGAGTTTTTGAGCCTAAATTACAGGGCAAATGCTCCATCATTACTGCTCTTGCCTTACTTCTCTCCTCTGAGTAGGGAATCCTCTCTGAGAAGAGCTTCCTTACTTAGAGAAAAACAAATGGTTATTCACAATCACAAGGAATCATTTTCAAATGAGTGCACAGGTTCATAGCAAAACTTGTATTTACAAATTGAAAATGCAGTTCTTAGTTCCAGTACTAACCTTTAGGTATAGACAGCATTCTCATCTCAGGTTCATTCCTTCCACCCCACCCCCCTCTACATCTTTTCCCAACTCTTAAAATTATTAAGGTATGTGGCAACTATGAGTTGAGCACCCACAACATATGCAAGGAGTTGTGCCAGAAATTGATCACACAGTGATGCACAGAAAACCATGCTCTCAAGTGTGTCTTCATTCATTAGAAGTGTGTCTCCGACAGGGAAACAGAGGACAGAGTGGTGACAACTGTGACTGGTGCCATGAAAACGAGCAGGACAATGAACACATCAGAGCGTAAGACCCTTCCTTGTCTTGAAGGCCAAGAAATCTTCTGAGGAAGGGGTATGGGGGGAGATACTGGGGGAGTAAGATGTTGAGCTTTTAAGGCAGGGTCAATGGCACAAACGAAGGTCCTCAAGGGAAATCAGAACATATTTGAGAAACCATAATGTCACGATCTTGGTTGGACTTCACCATCTCTAGGAAGCCTCCCCTCCTATATCATTGAATTGCTTTTGAACATTTTTCTGGAGAAAAATTCTCCAAGTGGTTTGAAAACCTGGTTTAACCAACCAGTAGTCCTTGTGGACCCAGAGCTACCCATCCCTCTGAGATCTGGGGAATGATGGCATCCTTCTCTGAGACACGTGTTCTTATGTCTAAAGGTATCCTCAACTGTCACTGTGAAGTACTCAAAAAAATATCACTTGACCTCAGAAAAAATGATAACAAATCAATAAAATAGAATAAACTTTCCCCAAAGTTAAATGTGTTTGAATAAAAGGATTCTCCTTTGAGGTTTTTTTATTATTATTTTTTAATGAATTGATGAAAATAGCAGGAACATTATCTGCCCTTATCTGGCAAATAAAAAATTGGCAGCCCTTTGTCCCCCAAATTTCCTTATGAAACCAGAGTTGTTCTGGCAATTAAAATATACTGCCTGGGGCATCCATCCATGTGACAGAAGAATCAAAAATGCTTTTTGTAGTTGCTGGGTTTTTTATAAATTTTTTTTTAGTTGTAGTTGGACACAATACTTTTATTTTATTATTTATTTTCATGTGGTGCTGAGGATCAAACCCCAAACTTTGCACATGCTAGATGAGTGCTCTACCACTGAGCCACAGCCTCAACCCCCCTATAGTTGCTGTTTTAAGAACCCTGCCATGACTGTCAACTTTTCCCTTGACCACTCCATGAGGTGGCAGGACACCTCCTCTTACCATCACTTAAGACTCCTAGACCTTCACAAGTTTAGCTGGTTGTGAAGACAGTGGCTAGAGACTACTTGGCTAAATGGACTAGTTTTACCTCAGATACTTATCCAGGAATATAATTTTGAGCAAACCACTATTTTCATAATGACTGTTATCGAGAGGTAAATTCAATTCATCTATTATTTGTTTGATTCAACCAACATTTACCAATCACCTTGGACATATTAGGACTTATTAAGTGTTGGGACTTTAAAAAAAAATGATTGTCTTTTAAAAGTCTGTAGTTTCGACAGGAAGATAAGCATATCACAGGATTATATTACAATAGGAGAAATGCAGGCAATGATGGAATTATGTTCCGTAAATCAGAGATGCTCCAAGGTTCCCAGAATATTTTTAGGAAATCAGAACGAGAGGCTTCCTAGAGATGGTCAAGTCCAAACAAGACCTTGACTTAATATGTCTCCTCAAATATGTTCTGATTTCCCTTGAGGACCTTCATTTGTGCCATTGACCCTGCCTTAAAACCCCAACATCTTACACCCCCATCTCCCCCATACCCCTTCCTCAGAAGATTTCTTGGCCTTCAAGACTAGGAAGGGTCTTACGCTCTGATGTGTTCATTGTCCTGCTCGTTTTCATGGCACCAGACACAGTTGTCAGCAGACAACTAATTACGTCCACTCTGTCCTCTGTTTCCCTGTCGGAGACACACTTCTAATGAATGAAGACACACTTGAGACCATGGTTTTCTGTGCATCACTGTGTGACCAATTTCTGGCACAACTCCTTGCATGTTGTGGGTACTCAACTCATAGTTGCCACATACCTTAATAATTTTAAGAGTTAAGAAAAGATGTAGAAGGGGGTGGGGTGGAAGGAATGAACCCGAGATGGGAATGCTAGGCAGAGAGAACACCAGGAACCAAGGCCCAAGGTAGCAAATCCCCTGAAAGATGTCTGCACAAGGCTGAGTGTGTCATTAAGAATGTGATCATAAAGGTGGAGGCCAGAGCAGGGAGGGCCTTCCAGGTCAGATAAAATAGGGTAATCACAATTTTACATGATGGTCTGCACATGTGTCCCTGTGAGCTCCTTTACTCATTAAACAAATATTTATTAAGTAGCTACTATGTGCTGATACTATCCTCAGTACTGGAGAGTCAATGAGTACTTCTTATTTGGAGCTTAGATTTTAATAAATGTTCTCTTCCTTGGGGTTAGGGCTGTGTCTTACTCATTTCAGGGCCTGTGCAGTACCTAAGGAAGAGTCTGAAAAAAATCTTCAATGGAGGAAAAGAAAAAAAAAAAAAGAAAGAAGAAAGGTAGTGACACAGGAGACCAATTACTGACAGAATTGAAGAAAGGGGCCAGGTGCGGTGGCACATGCCTGTAATCCCAGCAGCTCTGGAGGCTGAGACAGGAAGATCGAGAATTCAAGGCCAGCCTCAGCAAAAGCAAGGTGCTAAGCAACTCAGAGAGACCCTCTCTCTAAATCAAATACAAAATAGGGCTGGGGATGTGGCTCAGGGGTTAACTGACCCTGAATTCAATCCCTGGTATCAAAAAAAAAAAAAAAAAAAGGGAGAGAGAGAATTTAAGAAAGGGGGTCAATCAGGAGCCATCTAGGACTGGCCTGGCACTACCTACCCAAGAGCCCCTGGCAGTCCTGTGGTCTCTTCTCATTATCTCCTGGATCCTGCACAGCCTGCATGAACCCCCACAGAGAATAACATGGAGGCAGGGTGGGCTCCTTTCTTGCAGATGGAAAGCCAAAGAGGCTGTGCCCTTGCTCAGCCTGTCCACACCACAGAGAAGGAAAATGGCTCTTGATTTTTAACATGGGTCCTTGACCATATTTCCCCCAAAGACATTGCTAAGAATCATAGTCATGGCAGTTGGGTTCTCTAGTACTTTACCATGCTGTCTTAAATGGATTTTTAGCCAAAGAAAATGTTGAGGGTTAACTCGGAGAACTGAACACTTTATAACATTGTTCTTCAAAGAATATCTCTTCAGATTGCTAATGCTGGTTTATGAACTTCCCAAAGCCAAATATTGACAGCCCGGATTGCCTGTTCCCCTTGTGTCCAGTTGACCTAGGAAAAACCCTAGGGGCAAGCACTGTACCTTCTCGGCACAGGAGCCCTACACAGGTGAGCATGTAATGCACCAGTGTGTGTGGAGCAAGGAGCTTGAAATTGGGTATTTGATGTGATCTTGCCCACAGCAGCTTTGGAAAGTTTTGACCACAAAAGAATTGGCTGCCATCATCGGGCTGTGTCATATCCAAGGTCTCTTTGTCGTAAACTCAAGGACTGCACTACAGAGACCTATCAGGCCACAGGACTCCCATGTGTTCAGGGAAGGTGGTCTCGGGCTCCATGAGCTGGTCAGGGTCTCAGCCTGGCCCAGCCTGGAGCAGGAGCAGCGTGGGGACACCAGCTCACCAAGCTGAGGAGCTTCTGCACTTGGCTTGTGGCCCTGGGGGAGATTTTGCATGCTTGACTCTCTTAAGCTTTTCACATGTCCAATTTTGTCCTCAACTAGTACACTGGCTGGCATGCATGGGAGAAAAACAAAACAACCTCTGAGCCTTTCGTCTTAACGGATTTCTTTTTTTAGATTTTATTTTTAAATATCATGCCACAATTTCTTCCACCACAGAATTTGACTGATGCAATTCAGCTCTCAACTTCCTCATGGCTTTTTGTTTTGTTTTGCATTGACATGGATATTCTTCACATCCCTTTGATTTCTGGCTTGAGTTTTCAAGCTGATTCCACTCAGTTTCCGCTGTCAGAGATTCATTTCCTTCTCCAATCTGCAGTCACGTCAGGAGACACAATGACACTGAGCAAGTTAAGCTGCTGAACACTCAGACCACCCTCATCTTCCCAGAGCTTCAGCCATCAGAGTCTCAGTCACATCTGTGTCGTCTTCCCCATGTCTTGGATGTGTGCCTGAGTGAACACCAGAGATCTTCCCTTCTGCATCCCACATGCATGTTTGCTCATTCTCCACAAAGCAACTTTTGTTGCCCTGAGTGAGCACAGAGTCAGGGAAAGGTAGCAACCTAGACTCATTGTCCCCAATTACAGTATTGATCTACATTCTCGGCCACCATGTTGTACAGCAGCTCATCCACAAGCCAGCTCTAGTGGGCCGGCACCCTTAGAGGAGGAGAAAATGCCTTCAGTCCTCTGCACATAATCACATCAACCAAGGTCAATGCTCTGGGTTGAATTCATGTTGAAAGCGAATCGCCATTGTGGTGGAATTAAAAAGCGAGGCACTCTGGGGATGTAATTAGGTCATGAGGTCCTGGCCTTGTGAATGAATGGATTAGTAACTTTAAACAGAGCTGATGAGAAGTAGCTCAGGCCCATTTTGCTCTTCCATCCATTCTACCACATGAGGACACAGCATTGAAGGTACCTCCCTGGCAGCAGACACCCATACTGCCAGTAGCTGGATCCTAGACCCTAGAGTTGTGACAAATTTCTATTCTACTAACCTATGGTATTTTGCTATAGCACAAATGGTCTAAGACAATCCTTCTCTCAGAGAATTTAGAAGAATCCTCCTCTTATTAAAAGTTGGAAAAACACAGAACAAATTCAAAATTTTAAAAATATAACTAACTAGAACAAATTAATTTTTTTAATTGGGAAAAACTGACTAAGGGAGAGGTGAAGATGAGGCTCACATCACCATGAGCACCATCGTCAACATTACCATCATCTCTCTCATCTCTGTAAAACATGGCAAGTGGGACAGATGAGATTTCTGGGAATATATATTTCATAAATGTGCATAGAACTCATTTATTAAAATGAAATAATTTAATAAATGAATTACATAGCATGGAGCATTTTGCACAAGTAAAATTAACAATATTGTTTGCTTAGCATTATATGGCTAAAAAAATGTTTCACATATATGATCTTAGAAAATTCCCTTAACATGGGTAAAATGAATATGAACATTCTCTCTCTCTTCACAGATAACAGAGACATAGAATATCTCTGGGCTAAAAGCCCTGGACTGGTGGGGTCAGGATAAGTCTCCAATCTTCCAACCATGGACTAGAAATCTCTTTGTTCTATCAGAGTACTTCGAGCAGGAAGGGGATGGAGGAAATTCACATTTAGAATCTGGACTGGGGTGACATTTCATATTTTTATGAAGGCTTCTTTGAAGAGATTTAAGAAGTTCCACAGAAGCTTGTTTTATTGTTGTTTGTTTTCTCTCCTTCAAACCAAGAAGCAAAACTTGAAGACTTTGGTAAAGGATTCTGTAAGCCTAGAGGACAGTCCCTGCTTATTATATTCCACTTAAATTTCAATGAGACTTCGTAGGGAGTTGTACAGTCAGTTGCAAGGGTATATTTAACTTGCTGTTATCTGAAATGCAGTTCATGTCTCTCTAAAATTCAAAGGCTCAATCTCTAGAACTGATATCTGGAAACATGTGAGAACTTTCTAGTCCTGAGTTCCCAACCGGCCAGCAGGTCACAGCTCTTTTCACATGAACTGCAGCTTCACAAGCAGTGTGAAAGTCTACAATTACCACCATTCTTTGGAATCCTCTCAGCAAAGAAGGACATTCCTTGGCTGGTTTAGAAAAACCAGTGCAGATTTGCACTGGGAAAGGAATGCAGTCTGGAACAAGGGCCAACGATTTACAGATTAGTTCTCCTATTAGCTAAAAAAAGAATGAGGAAAGGAGGTTTAAAAACACAGTTCTACCACAGCCTCAGAAATACCTCTGGGAGGAGGAGTACAAATGCGAAGGTGGGGTAGGGATAGAAGCAGTGAGTGGAAACTGGTGGAAGGACTGGAATCAAGAGAGGCCTGGACAAGGGATTGGAATCCTCATCCTAATCCATTTGGTTCACACAGTACTTGTAAATTTCCAAGATAGTTAAGTACTTATTATCTTAACTGGTTAAAAATTTCAAAAAAGACTCAGGAGGGTCAGGTAGGAAGGAGCATTTTTATCTTTCAGAAGACCCTGAGTTCAGTGAGGTTAAGTGTTTCATGCGGGATCACACAGCTGGGGAGACCCCCAAGTGGAGCTGTGGCTTCCTGATATATAGGTCTGATTCTGATTTCTACTGGGCTTACTGCCTCTCCACAGAGGGGAAAGGTACCACATCAATCTGATGGCCCAGGGGATCTCACCTGGATCCCCTGGGTCATGGGATTCACACAATAGCTTCTCAACTGCTCCTCAAAAGACGATGCAGGGGCGGGGATTGGGGGCACAGATAATGGCCAGCAAGGCCAGCACCCTGGGAGGAGCAGGCTAGAGAGGTCCAGGAGAAACATGATCCGGAACTGGACTGAGGTAGAAAGGAGAAAGCAAGTTTAAGCAGTTGACAAGCATAGAAGGAAGGGCAATGGCCCGTGGAAAACGTCTCTGAACCTTGCCATGTGTGAAGCCAGTGACATGTTGTCACCGCCCACTGCTCCTATCAGGTAACTCCAGTCTCTTGGGTAGGAACTGCTTCACAGTTTCAGCAGAGATACCCAACAGCACCAACAGTCATCAATTTTAAGCAGCATGCTAGTCTCACGGGCAACACGTAAAGATGCCCCAAGCACGCAGGTCAGAGGCCAGGAGAGCATGGAGCACGCCTGACTAAGGTGTCAGAGGAGGAGCCCTCAGCCTGCCCTGGAGCTCACCTCCTGGATATTCTGCTTCACCCGGCTGTCAGAGGGATGCATGATTGTCCCCATCACTTTCATGTTGCCACAGACAACCAGGGCTTCATCTGGTGCATCTGTGTTTATTCCTATTCGACCATGACAGACAACCGATTCTGGAACTTGTCCTCGCTGCCATAATGCATCACTGTCATTTTCAAACTGCCCAGGGTTGGAGGCCTGGAAAAATATATAAACATAGTACAACCACAGTTATGGTATCAAGAATACACGATGGTTAGTCTTCGGAGCAAAGGAAAACAGAATGTTATAGGCTTTCACATAAGATTCCTATGTTGGGTAGAACATTCTGACATAACTGAATAACTTTGGGGCCCCCAGGAGAGCCAGGGAGGCATCTCTAGCCATTTTGACCCCCAATAGCAGAGGCTGTATGTGCTATGGCTTGGAATATCCCGTCTCTATTGTATTTCTCTGGAATTTAGATTATACCAGGTGGATGGTGAAGAAGAAAACTGAAAATGACTCTTTTTCCACGAATAATAATAACACATAATAATGCAAAAATCAGAACATTAAATCAGGATGCTTTACAAGTTTATGAAAGTTCAGATAAATAAAAGTAACTTTCATTTAGCCAGCCCTTTATTGTTCCACCAAAGCACTGATTTCATATGTAAGCAACAAGCAAATGATGATACAAATATATTTAATACACCTCAACTATTCCCTAAACATCGATAGTAATGAAGAATAATAATAGCTACACTTTTGTGTGCTGATCTGCACTGCAATTCCGTGATATAGGAACTATTATCCTCATTTTATTGATGCTGACATTCTGAAAGGGTAAAAAAATTGCCCGAAAACACACAGCTAACAAATCCTGGAGCTATACTTCCTCTGATGAATACATAACGGCGCTAACTTGTCTATTTCATGGTGTGGCCTAGAAGTAGCCCGAGAAATCTTCTAAACAACCAAGTGAAATGATTATGGTAGCCAAAGTTCTGGAGACTTTATCCTTAAAATTCTTTGCCAAAGAATTCTCCATCACACTGTTTTCCTTCCTCCCTGTTTCCCTGCAGCTAATGAGTTTATTTTCAAATAGCTTTATGTAAGGGTCTCTAAATCCCTCAAACTTCTTAAAATTAAAAGATCAATTTGCTTTTAAAATAATGACATATTCTGTGATTTTTGAGCGTTTGCGGCAGGTTATCACACATCCAAACAAACATTTGGGATCCTGATGATTTAAAAAGTCAGTACAAATAGAGTGACTTCATTCTTTGCCTTTCTGGTGGTCATGAGACCCTGCAAGCTGGGCATCTGAGTACGCATGGGTGGTCTCTGAAGCTAATAATGATGGAGACCTAGAAATCAGGGTGGGAAGGAGATTAACTGTTCACTACATACTCTCTTGGTACTTACTGCTTTACCATAGCCATGTGTTACTCATTAAAATAACTGGAAGAAGTTGCAAAGTTTAGTTCTTAATTTGGTTTCAGTGGAAGAACTTTTCAGGTGTCTTCAACTTCTTATTTCATTCACACCTCTCTGAGCCCTGAGCTGCTTAGAAGACTCATCTACTGACACTTGATAGACAAGAACAGTGAAAGAATATAAAGTAACAACTATGAACATTATTTCTCTGTAAATTCACTTGAACAAAGGGCTTTTCTGCAAGGTCCCTGGAGCCCCCTTGGATGTGAATGGCAAATTGGCTTTGACTCAAATCCTTTTAGAGTGGGCAGCCAACTAAATCCAAAGGTATGCCACATAAAGTGCTGATGTATTTTGCTCTGTGCTGAATATAATGAGCCAATTCAAGGAAACAAAATAGGACAGTGATGGATCTTTTTGTTGATGTTAATGAGCTTTGGAATAATTATTATCATGTTGGTAACTTGATACTGGAACAGCAGATATAAGTAGATTTAATTTTTTGAAACAATTGCAACATTCTCTCTCCTTTGACTTTCATCACATGAAAACTCAAATCCCTAAATATGTTAAAGTCATTTTTAAAAACAGGACCAGATTTACAATGTTCTAAATGTATAGACCTAGGGAAGGGTCCTCATCAGGAGAGGAAAACTGTAAGATCTAGGAACTTATTTTCCCTTCTCTGGAATCCACAATCTTCAAGTGTCAATGCCAACTGTAAAGTAGCTTCTCTTTCCAGTATTACAAGCTTGTATTCACATGTGCCCTAATAGTAAATAATGAATATCAAAACACCAAAATGAATTCACGAATGTTTCTAAAATATTTTTGTTATTTGTCTCACAGCCTCATTTATTTTGGGAAGACTGGAACATTCTTGTCCATGTTGTGACATCAACTGTTTATGTGACCTTGGGGCAGTCATTAATCTTTCTGTACCAGTGTACAGGAAAATAAAGATAATCATATACCCATCTCGAGGGTTGTTGTGGAATTGATTGAAATCATGCGTGCATGAATAGTTGGCAAAAAAAATGAGGACAAAGAGTCACAAATGCATCCTCGTCACGCTCCACTAGACAAAGCAATCTCTGTTTAACCTGCAATCACATAATCTGCCCTTGTCAGCAGCAAACCTACAGAGCTGCCCCATTCCCTGGGCAATGTAAAGAAGGCAATGTAAAGAGTGCCCCCTGCAGGAGCTTAGAATAGGAGCCAGCAGCATAGTAACTGAAGTCCTAAAGTCTGGAAAGGATTGGAACTTCTTTGCTTGACCATTGCGTGGGATTCTAAAGCAGCAGCCAAGGAGTTAAGAGGAGGGCTTGACCTAAGGAAGGCAGCTCTTAGGAAATTGGTTTTGGCACTTTTTAAAGGGGGTTCCAAAAATGGGTCTAGAAATGTTCTCCACCAGTGCCATTCAAAGTGTGGCGCACAGGTCAGCACATCAGCATTTCCCAGGAGTTTGTGGGAAATGGGCATTCTCAGGCATCCTTGACCTGTTAAACCAAAAACACTGGGAGTGGACCCAGGAGATGGTGTTTGTAGGGGATGCTTACTCCTGATGTGGTTTGAGGACTACTACTCTGTATTTCTGGTTATCCCTTCCACGGCTGACATCTGTGCATGTCCAACCACAGGGCAAAACACACATTACTCCACAAACTGATGCCTATGGTTAAATAAAAATTCATCTGATCTCTAAAAGAGGGATGGGAAGGTGGATGTGTGCGTGCGTGCTAGGAGAGGGAAGGTAGGTCTGTGGTCAGAAATAGTTAAGAGCCAGTGAAAATGAACTGGGAGACCCAGATGGCAACCACAACGTGCCTCTCATCTTCCCTACCCCTGGGTCTTTTTTGTTTGCCCCTTCAGTTTGGTTTGCAGAGAAGTAAAGGAGGAGTGCTTTGGGGATGTGGCCATTACTATTATTCTGGGACAGGAACTGGAATAATCTGTTAGTTATCAAAATGAGGAAATCTTAGCATGTCTTTGAAAAGCAGACAAACATAATCTGCCCTCCTGCTGCAACACAGCACTCCAAAACAGGTGTAATTAAGTGTTTCAGAAGGAAAGTGGAGCTGAAGTAAAACCTAGTCATTAACAAAGGAAACTGAAGACTCCATTGGAGAAGGGTCCCAAAAACAAAGACCTGGGAAATAAATCTGTTCTCTGGAATAAACCTTAATTTCCACTAAATTGGTCAATTTACACCACAGGAACATAATGTATTTCTAAAGCTGTTTTGATTGACAATACAGATGAACAATTACTGGGTACTGCCTGCCATTCTCTCTCCAAGGAGAATTCTGACAAACATGGTGTGTCCTTCCTGGACACCTCCTGGAGCCTAAATCTCATCAAGGTGTGGCCCTCATACCGTCACCCTCTACCAAAGAGTAAAACGTTTATCTCTACCATTTGGAGAAGTGGTCCTTAGTCCACAAAATGAATTTCAATTTGCTAAATGCAGTTTGAGGTTCATTTAATGTAGTCAGGTCCTGTAATGTTTTTTTAATTATTGAATTTGTCTTTATTCTGAAGGTCAAACTAACAGAACAGAGCCATGGCTCTTAGGGCCACATTTGACTCTTGTGTAGAATATAGACTGATCTGCCCTCTGCCCAAATCATATGCATAGGGAAATGTTTGCTGTGGACACCTCTAAAACTCACTGAATCAAAGAGTAATGTTATTCCTTAAATTCAACTTTTCTCTTGGTTTTCTGGTTTAAATATTAATTAAATAGACTGAAAATTCTACATTCATTTTCACTTGTGTGTTTTGGAGTTAGAATGAAATAATATCCATGAGATATTTTCAGTTGAATATGTGAGGGTTTCTGTGAGTATCAATATTAGGCTAACCTTGTGTTGCCAAAAACAACTACAGAATATTCTCTTTAACCCAAAATTATAGCTAGGGAAACACCTTACACTCATCTGTCATGTTGTTGTTGTTGTTGTTCAGTTGGTTGGTTGGGTTTTTTTGTTTTGTTTTGTTTTTTGGGGTTTGTTTTAGAGATACACACAAGAGTTTAGCTGACAAATAAAGGCCATCTCTCTATAGGAGAGAGAGGCCCAATCATCTTTTTAGAATAAAACTTTAGTAAATAACAATACACCCAATCTATGCTGAGTGCAATTGAATGATTTTCATATTCATACTGAAGGTGACTTACAGAAACTTTCACTCAAAGTCATCACATATGCTAGTTGTCACTGTGCTTTGGTATGAGGAGGTGCCAGTTAGCCAAGAGGTTCTGGTTAACAGAAAGCCAGGAAGCAGAAAACCTCCTCCCTCTCCCTCTCCTTGCTCCTGTGCAATGAGGACTTGTGCAGCTGCAGTTCAGCTTTGCAGGAGCTGCCAGCAACAAATGGAGAGACCTTGTTGCCAGGTAAATTATTCAAAATACGAAGGTAACTAGTGGCCTGTCTGACTCAAGCACAAGTCACACGGCTCAGAACAGCACCATCACAATACCTGGTCTAAGCCAACTTGGAAAATAGTGACACATCGTAGGGCGTGTTGGTACACGCCTGTGATCCAGTGACTTGGGAGGTTGAAACAGGAAAATTTTAAGTTCAGACCAGCCTCAGCAACTTAGCAAGATCATAAAACCGTGTCACAAAATAAATGATGGTGATGATGATGATGATGGTAATAATAATAATAATAATAGGCTGAGGATGTAGCTCAGGGTAAAGTACCCCTAGATTCTATCCCCAGTACCAAAAAAAAAAAAAAAAAAAAGGAGGGCGGGAGTAAGAAAGAAAACAATGACAGTCTTTATTTCTTCCAAAGCAACATCAGAAACAAGAAGCAATCTCAATTTCCAGACTTTAAATCAGATTTGCTGCAACAGTCAGGGAATCCCAGATTACATCAGATGCCTAAGACACCCTGCCCTGGGCTGGACAGGCACCTCTGTACTGGGCTTGAGGCAGGAAAGATCTCTGTCTGCCTTTGCTCAGAGGCACCTCACTTGCCTCAGATGATGTCAAGTCCCCCCCAAAAACCAGCCTGAGGCACGTACGGTGGCCTTCACAGAGCCATCCGAAACCATGAGGTGTTGACTCCATATCATTACTTCACCTCCACTAAAACTCTGAGAGGTCATTGAAGGATTTCCACTAATAGGTGGCTTATTATTTTTAATTGACTGAAAGAATTACAGAGGGCCCTTTGTTTCAGAACAGCAGGCAAGGAGAGACGCCACTCCCAAGTGGGCAGATCTGTCCCCCAGGGCCTTAGATGAACAGCGTCCCTGAGCATGCCAGCAGCAAATGACTTTCCCTGCTGGAGTTGCACGTCCTCCTTGTATCACTTCAAAAGAGTGATGACAACAGGGCCCCTCCCAGGGCCGCGGGCCTGTGGTTACCTGTTACCTCATGCCCTGGCATTCTTAGCAGTGGCCAGCCTTACCTCACGCAGCTGCTGCTGCAGCTGCCAACAGCTTGATGTTTGGGTTTGGCTGCCAAGACTCTTGTCCACAGCTGTGATCCTTCTGCAAAATGCATTGAGCCGTTCCTATGAGCTAGACAGTGGCCCAGATTTCCTGGGGTCACCAGTTACTTTGGGGCAACTGACAACTCCCCCTGGCACTTTGCTCACCCTGTGGGCTTTCGAGTCAGAGAAAGCTGGGTTATAATCCAGGCTCCATCATTACAGGCTGTGGGATCACGGGCAAGTTATTTACCCTCTTGAGCCTCGATTCCTCTGGGCTTCAAGAATATAATGCAGATTGTCTAACAATGTCTAATGATGTCATGTATAGATTGTTTAGCTCAGTGCCTAAAACACAGAGCAAAAATCAGTATTTTTCAATCTCAGGATCATATGCATTTGGGGAAGAATGATTCTTTGCCTAGGGGTTGTTCTGTACATTGTAAGGTGTTGAGCAGCATCCTTAGTCTTTACTCACTAGATGCCAGTTGTGACAACTAAAAATGTTTCCAAACATTGCCAAATGATCCTTAAGGGTCAAAATTGGCCTTGGTTAAGAGCCACCGTGTAAAAACAAAAGAAGTAGTTTCTAATGTTACCATTATCATCATCATTATCATCAATTAAGACATAGAGTACTTCAAGCATGTCATTGGAAATTCAAATCCTTTCTACAAAGGAGAAAAGAAGCCAGGATGCAGAATAATTAGAGAATAGAGCTTACCCTTACAATGATCCTTTCAGAGATGTGGGCAGACAACAGATAGAACTGATCTTGGTTAGCAGCATACAGTCCAACTACCAACATGAAGTATCTAGTTCAGAAACAGCAGACCAACATCAACACATCGGGAACAGAGACACAATTCATGCAACAGTTAATCAGTAGTGAACTTACCTAGCTGAGTTTACTGATTTAGAGACTGTCTTTTCCCTTCTGCTTTAACCTTCGTCCCCAGGTGAAATGAGAGAGCAATTATTTGATTTACATGCTATTGTCCCCCACTTGCCCCATGTCCAGTTGGAGGTGGTTGTGAGCTGTTTTGCAGGCCCCCTGTGGGAAGAGATACTGGCGGGAACATGGGCTCAGCCCGCCTGTGCTGATTTGGCCTCCCTCACCATTCCTGGGCCCTCAGCACAGGACTCCTCACAAACACAACAGGAAGCCACCAAAGGTCCCTGTGTCCAGAGACACACAAGTCACGTGTCCTGGGCTTGGTCTCAGCAGGACTAGCCCACCATACCCACCCTGACCTCCGGGCTGTGCCTCCGGCACCTTCTCAGGTTTTAACTTTAATCAAAGACCTGAACCTTCCTTCCATTTGCTCTCAAGGCAGTTTTGGTCTTCTGTACTCCAAATGCTTCTTCAAAACTGATGAGATGATTTTAAGATTAAACTGTTGCTTGACCATCAAAACAAAAACTATCCCTACTAGAAAAGCTTTGGCTTTAAAAACTGCATGAAAAAAAAAAAAAGCTAACAAATTCTTTCATAACACTACATAGGTTCTTTGATTCATCTAGAACAAGAGTCTGCTCATGTATCTAAAATAAATCAGTAAGAATAATAAATATCACAAGTATTGTTACTAACTGCCATTGGGAACTCAAAATGTTTCATGCTGGGCTACGACATAGTTTACCTGTTATTTCACTTGGGTCCCTAAAACAACCTTATTCGAGTAGGAATTGTTAGTGTCACCATTCATAAGACAGGAAAATGTGTTTCTGAGAGTCTAGGTTACATGCCCAAGGTAAATGGCAACATCAAATGTTTAAACTCAATTCTGCCCAATACCAAAACCTTGATTCTAAAACCAGTGGCTCTCAAAACTTATGCATTGTATCAGAGTCACCTGGAGTGTTTGTCAAAAAAACAATGTGCTAAGCCCACTTCCTGAGTTTTTGATTTAGTAGGTTTTTGGTGAGATCTGAGAACTTGAATTTCTAACATCCAGGTATTACTCTCTCTGCTACTCTTGGGACCACACTTTGAGAACCCTAAGTCTAAATCATGAAGGCAATTCTATTTTCTTTTTTAATCAAAAAAGTTACAGCCGTGCTTCATGACCAGTGCACACGTTTGAGAAATGCTATCAGTCTTCCATTCAAGATGGCAATGAGACATGGTGGGATCAAGGCTGGTCAGGAGGGCATGATGAAGAGTGAGGATGGGAGGAGAAAGACACCGATGGTAAATGGGATATACTATTAAACTGAAAGAGTCAGAGAAAGGAGGAAAGCAGTTTAAGGAGACCCAGTTTGCCCTTAGGCTACTTCCTGATCAAATAGTGTGACTGGCCACCTGGTGTGTGCAGGGGCACCAATACCTCTGGTCAGGATTTGGCTTCCCCTTCTTTCTCATGTTGTTTGCCGTGGTTTCACTGAAGTGTAAACGTCCCAGCGTTACTTTAGTGACCTGGTCAGCAGGTAGGTCAATTCTAAAATGAACAGCAGAAACACCAAGAGATCATGAGAGAACACAGAGTCCTTGATCATACCCAATCCACTCCTTAAACTCTCAAATGGGTCCAGTGTGCTTAGAGCCCAGTGCTCATCACACCGTGAAGGACAGTTTATTCCAACCACCAATTACCAGTCAACACTCCACAGCAGGGTCAGGAGTGGCTGCCAGGGAAGGCCAGGGAATGACTTTCAAGCCACCAAGAAAAGCTCACTCAGCACAAGCTCCGCCCAGAGTTTGTGACGCATGAGGGCTGTGCTCTCCATACACTGCACATGGGTTCTGTCATTTTCACAGCGGGGAGGAAAGATGCCTTTCGTCTGTGCTGTTGCTATAGCACTCACCTCCATAGCAAGCAACTTCTTTAGGCTCTTCCTGAAGGCCTTGGTTTCCGGTTAAGTACTTGTCCTTCCCTAGTCTAGTGACAGGAGGCAGCCTCCTCCATAGGAAGGCTATGCCCAGCCTGCTCAGGCAACGGAGAACCAGATGTACCAGCCATCTGAGTCTGTTTGTCCAAGTGCCTGATTTGTTGGCTGTAGGACCATCTTCTTCCCAGCCCAAACGGGTTGACTGAGGGTTGAAATCCTGAGCTGTCTTGACTGCATTCCCAGCCAAATGAACCAAAGAGCAAATCCCACTCCAAATCATTCTAGAGACAGAACTTTGGACTGCCATATTGCTATGCATTCTACCAGTGGTGCATGCTTTCTATCTTGGAATCCATTCAGCCATCTATCAATGTAGTCTTAAAAAAATAAGAAAAATGAATTGTATACCAGCTTGGATCTGGAACCTTGAAATTAATCCAATCAACACCATGCTAATTTAAATAAGAAGATATAGCTATAATCTACTTTATGGAACCAAATGTATTAGTAAGGTTTTTAGTAATAAAGAATTATTTTTTAAATGGATCTTTTAATAAAGAATTTCTGCTACTATTTCGATGTATTTTACCAATCTTATTTTTGTTGGTAAATATGCACTTACAATATTGACATACTATTACTAATTTAGATTCTAACAGTGAATTTCATCTTAAATAAGCAAAACAAATTAGATGATAGATCATCCCAAAACATTCACCTAGGAATTCAGAAAAGAAATTCTTACTTAACAGGATTGAAAACTTTTTTGCTCCTATCTGCTTGGGACTGTTCAATAGCAATTATTTGATTGGTGGCTTCAACCTATATGGAACAACAAAAAGTAAATTACTTAAAGAGTTAACAAATTAATTTATTTACTAATAAAAATGTTCATTAGTAGACAATATTTTAGTACTTAAAAAGGTCTTCAAGGCACCATGCTAGACTTTGGGCAGGGATTGTAAATCACTGGAAAAACATATAAAATCATGGTTCCTGCCTTAAAGCAGTGCACCATTGATGACACAACAAGCAAAGACCTACAAGGTTAAACAACAACAACACAAGACAACAGAGTATTTCAGGTAAGCAATAAACACAGAGTGGCCTATAGATGGTTGAAACATGGGGAGGCAAATACAGGAGCGAGGCAGCACAAAGGCATGTATTCCTTCATTTTTTCATCCATTCTATAAACTCTTATTGAGCATCTACTATGTTCCAGGGACTGCTCTAAACATTAGAAATAAGAAGTGAACAAAATAAACAAAAATAATTGCTCTTGGGGAAGCTTATATTCTAATATAAAGAAACAATATAAAATATAAATAAGTAGAATATAGAAAGTGACATTTGTTCAGCACCTACTACATACTTTTTTTCCTACTGCTTACTTATTTCCATGAATAATGGCAAGAGCCTAATGAAACCAGGCATGTAATATGTAGCTTGTGGGTATTTGCATTTTAACAATCTTTCTGGAAAGCAATTGAGCAGCCTACATCAAGAGTTTTCATAAGGTTCACATTTTTGATGTGTAAATTCCCTCTTAGGAATTTGGCCTCATGCAAAGCTGGGTGCATATAGATGTTCAGTGTAGTTTTATTAATAACACTAAAAATATTGGAAGTGAGTGAAACTTCCAATAGTACAGGATACATTATGCATCTCTAGGATGTAAAACTGAATCATCTTTGTAAACAATATTTTATGGGGTTCTTAATAATATCATGTATTTCAAAACATAATATTAGCAATATGAGATTCATTTAATTTTTTAAAGTTATGTGCTACTTTTAGTTGTCAATGAGCCTTTATTATTTATTCATTTATTTATATGTGTGGTGCTAAGATTGAACCCAGTTCGTCACATATGCCAGGCAACACTCTACCATGAGCCATAACCCCAGCCAAAATTAATTTTAATAACAAAAATTAAGCTACCAAATGATGCATCCTGAATATGAGTTTTATTTCTTCTTCATATATTTCTATTATTTTTTTTATTTTAATATTTATTTTTCAGTTCTCGGTGGACACAACATCTTTATTTGATTTTTATGTGGTGCTGAGGATCGAACCCAGCACCCCGTGCATGCCAGGCGAGTGGGTTACTGCTTGAGCCACATCCTGAGCCCCCATATATTTCTATTATGTTTCAAATTTTCTACAGTGAGGGCTGAGGCTGTGGCTCAGCAGGTAGCACGCTTGTCTGGAATGCATGAGGCACTGGGTTCAATCCTCGGTACCACATATAAATAAATAAATGTCCATTGACAACTAAAAGAAATATATATTTAAAAAAAATTTTTCTACAATGAAATCCTTTTACTTCCACAGTAGGAAAAGTATGTTTTATTGTTTATTTCCTTGTTGTTTGTATTTATTTATTTTGTTGTTGTTTGTTTTAAGAGCTGTGTTGGGAGCACAAGAGTTGATGTGTGCGTTAATCATCTTTTTATCACTGTGACAAATACCCGAGGAAAACAACTTAGAGGAAGAAAGATTTATTTTGGCTCACCGTTTCAGAGGTTTCAGTCCATGTTCAGCTGGTGTCAAGGCAGAAACCTCATGGTAGCCAGGAAGCAGAGAAAGAGGAAGGGGAGACAGGGTGGGAGAAAGGACCAGGGACAAGGAGACGTCCCTAATGGCCCCAGTGACCTACTTCCTCCCACCATGCCCCACCTGCCTACAGTTTCCACCACCTCCCAGTAGTCCATTTAATTACTAATCCATGCAATCGAGTATCTCATTGGGGACGTTAGAATTTTTGCAGGTCACACCTGCATGGACACTGTTGCACTGAGGACCAAGCCTTCAACACATGAGCTTTTGGGAGACATTCCAGATCCCAACCATACCACTGTATTCAGTAACCAAGCCTCATTTTAGGATATCCCATACCCAAGCCCAAGCTGACCATCAGAATGAAATATGTAGATAATGAATACTCGTGCCTGCTAAGGAGCTGGCTAAGAAGTGATAATTTAATAAATACCTTTTGACTGCTCAGAAGTCATACTACCTGAATTCTAAACTCAACTCTGTCACTTACTAACTTGGATGGATTATATAACATCACCAGGCCTCAGTTTCCCCTCTATTAAACCATGGAAAAGGGATACTGTCTAAATTAGTGGTTCTTTGGTTTTTTGCAGGGATTTGGGATACTAGGGATTGAACTCAGGGGCACTCAACCACTGATCCACATCCCCAGCCCTTTTTCATATTTTAATTAGAGACAGTGTCTCACTGAGTTGCTTAGTACATCACCGAGGCTGAGGCTGGCTTTGAACTTGTGATCCTCCCATCTTATGCTCCTGTGCCACTGGGATTATAGGCATGTACCACCGTGCCTGGCTGGTTCTTTGTCTTTTTTAAAATTAAACTTCTCTTAGAGAATCTGGTAAAAACTACGAGTCTACTCCATATGAAAAATGCACCAGCATCAATAAGAATAAAATAATGAAGAATAAATTAAATAAAAATAAAAGTAAAAGCAGGACAAGATTTATACACTGAAAACTACAAAAACTATAGTCTGAAGTGGTGCTGTGCCAGTTTCTGAGCTCAGTCTTCAGAAATTGTCAGCATCCACTTCCTGTGTCTGGGAATACTCATTCTTTAAACCCATTCACCATGCAGTGAGGGAGTGCAAACTATCTCTTAGAGAGATGGAGAAAAGCTAAGATCCCACAGCTACGGTCCCATTTGAGCTCCAGACTGTGGCCAGCCCAAATGTGACAGGCATGTCAGTGAGCCATCTTGGAAATGGCCCATCTGAGCTGCCCAGCAGACGACTCCTGAACAGGGTTGTCTTAAAGCCAATCCTGGAACAAGTTGCCCATTTGTAGCCCAAATAAATAATTATTATTTTATGTCAGTTTTGAGATGGTAAATTACGCAGCCATAGATAAATGGAACACTTAATAAATGTTGACTGAATTATATTAAGCTAAATTTAAAAATTTACCTTAATTCCAAAAGCTTTCAAGTAAAACATTTCTATTGGCTTTAGGCCCATTTGGGTTTTAACAAATTTTGGACTTCCCCAAACTTGGATGTGAATGGTTATCTGAAAATGGTTCTTCTTTTGGCAAACAAAAGCTTCATCTGCTGGCGAGAAATTAAATCCTTTGTCTGTGACAACTTGATAGCCCACATCAGGTCTATGAAAAGAGGAATCAAAAAAAAATTTTTTATAAATATTTTCTATACATTTTCTTTCACTGATGATATCAATTGTAAAAACATTTCAAGAAAATATAGTGTTGGAGGCGCCTTTTGCTATATTTAATCAATAGATGTCTTGAATTTTTACTGAGGAAATGAAAATAATCTTTCAAAACACAATGGGCTCTCTCCCAGCTTTTTATCTTCTTCTCACAAGGAAGCAGTTCAATTATTGCCAAATAGAAGCACTGTTTCCTTAGACTCCCTATCCCTTTTGTGCTTTCTAAACGCTTAATTTGACTCCACAACACAATGCAAAGATGTAAGTGAAAAGTTGAGAAATCACCGTGTTACTAGGAATATCTGGCATAGAATTAATTTCTTTCCTCCTTTAAAAAAAAAAAAAAAGGTCTCTTCAGCTCTGCCATCGTTACTCAAATGAGTGAATTTATTAAGTCCATTGGTACAGGTATGAAAAAGCAAACTGGTCAGAATTGCCAGGAATAGTTTTAAACCAAAGTCATCAGATCCAGTTACTCTGCTAACTGGAAACCTGTTTTTTAACAGAGTATGGTCATTTCCTTTTTATTCTCCAATCTGGTAATGGTGCTAGAAACCTACCAGAGTGACTTTCCTTGTTGAAGAAGGAATGGGAATGATGGCCGGATAGCTAATCAGACTTTTGCTTTGTTTGTTTTATCATTGTCACTTTTTAATTTTTTTTTTCAATTTTTAGTTGTAGATTGACACAAATACATTTATTTATTTATTTTTATGTGGGACTAAGGATCGAACCCAGTGCCTCATACATGCTAAGCAAGTGCTCTACCACCGAGCCACAACTTCAGTTCCTCGTGCTCTTTTTTTAATAGCAATCCTTTGAGTGTAAGATGTTTAATGAAATATTCTAAAAATGTTAATTCAAAGGAAACAAATTAAGTGCGTTCATGATAAAGTAGAGAGGAGAATATAAAAGTTGGTGAGTTTTTCCCATACAGGTTGTAGCTATGGAATGATTTTTAATTCAGGGTTCCTAAATATGGATTTCTTTTCTCAGGAAAGAAACTTGAGTACTACGGAACCATGAGTACTACACTACTTTGTGGATCTTTGCCTCCTGGGATCTCAATTTGGATGGCTGCCATTATAATAACAACATAGAGTCCCTAATCTTTGCTCCAGTTCCAGAAACAGAAACCATTATTGGGTTTTGCAGGAAAAGAATGTTCATGTTCTTTGTAAGTTAAGCACCTCCTCAATGGATCAAGTCACTGAGTCACTGACTACCTTCAGTAGCTAATAAGTTAAAGGCTTCACAATCATGGTGCCCACCAATAGCAGAAGGTAAATTCATTGAATGAAGAATTTGATAAACCTGTATGTGTTAGGGCATCTGCGAAATTTATAGTGAGCCAGGTTTCTAGAACTAATCTGCTAATTTACACTCTAAGGCCTTGATGGATGGAATTGTATAAACTCACTATTAAGGGTAATAAAAAACTCTTTGTTTGAAGAAAAAAGGAATTTTTTTTTTTTTTTTTTGTGTGTGTGTGTGTGTGATATTCCATGCTTAACTGTCAAAAATTCCAAAAGAAGAAGGTAAGGTGTATACCCCAGACATGATCATTAGTCTGTAATTTAAGAAAACCTGAATCAACCAACCAGAATTATACTGAAGATGATTTTGGGCCTTAAAGGCCAATCTCTGATTATAGAAATCTACCTGAGAATGCAATTATTATTATTTGGGGGGGGATATACTGGAGATTCAATCAGGGGCACTCACCATTGAGCCACATCCCCAGCCCTATTTGCATTTTATTTAAAGACAGGGTCTTACTGAGTTGCTTAGCACCTCACTGTTGCTGAGGCTAGCTTTGAACTTGGGATCCTCCTGTCTCACCCTCCCAAGCCACTGAAATTATGAGGCAATTATGTTTTTGACATCAAAAGTTAAACATCAAGTCAATTAAACTGACTTTAAAAAAACTATTTTATAGCACAACTTTGAAACATCATTCAGAATAAAAGTTAAATAAATTTTAAACCCTAACTCCATTGCTTTTACATAATTTAGGGAGATATTTTATAATATAGTCTACATAATTATCAAAGAAAAAAACAAGTGATTTTTCTCTCTCAATGGCATGACTAGTAAAATCAAGAGAGCCTGAATTATAAACTGGATGAATTTATTTACCTTCCTTTTTGCTTAGGAAAAGTGAATTATGGCAAAGTATTCAAAATAAATTTGCCTCTCTACCTTTGAATTGATATCATCTCTGTTTTCCCTTTTTTTCCAGTTTGTTGGAGCAGAGATAAGCTGTTCAAACAAATTTTTAAATAAATCTCTTCAAGTAAAAAGAGAGAGATAATACCTCAAAGATTGATCAACTCAGATGCATACAGATGGAAAAGTATTAAGGGTTTTAAAAATCATGTGCCTGTGTAGGACACTGTCATACATTGGTACTAATGCTTCAGAGAGAATGTGGATTGTGCCCCAAGAAAATCAAATAAAGATTGAGACTCAAAACCAAAACCCATAGATTCTTACTTTCATTTTCTGATCTCACACAATAGCAAAGATATGAAGTCATGACATTTCAATTATACAACAACTGGTGTCCTTTGCCTCCTATTAAACACACCAACTCCCAGGGCACCTAGCCACTGAACTACATCCCTAACCCTCTTTATTGTTTTATTTTGAGACAGGGTCTCACTAAGTTGCTTAGGGCCTTGCTAAGTTGCTGAGGCTAGCCTCAAATGCATAGTCCTTTTGCCTTAGCCTCCCTAGTTGTTGGGATAATAGGGGTATTTAATCTGTCTTGGGATTACAGGGGAGTGCCTGTAATCACACCCTGGCTTAGGCTTAATTTTAAGATAAATATTTCTTCCTTCTGGTCCAACATAAACATCCTAATGATAAACTTTGCTATATTTGAATTTGGAAAATACCAAGGAGGTCTTCAAGTTTATCACTCAATGTATCTCATTTCATATTATATTTATTACTTCAAAATCCTATTTCTTTAACCATTGACTCTTTTTTTTAGTGTTTCAAAAAGGTATTTATAACGAAGGAAAATAACAGCAGCCTTGGGTTGATAAATTATACCCTAAGGAATAAAGAGAAGTACGTTAAAGAGCAATAATGCATGAGTGCACATTTATTTTTTTAACTGTAGTGTTATAAAATAAGGTGAAACTTTTCTAATTTTAGGATAATTTGTATGATTTGATTTCAGTCTCTTAATATAAAGAAACCACCAACTATGGTTGCAGGCTAAACATTGAAAATATGCAATGTGTTGACAATAGTGATTTTAGAGTTGGTCACTGGATGACAACTTAATGTGGCCCCAAAAATATCTTTTGTGGTATTATAAATTAACTGCTGGACTAAATGTTAGTGTATTGGGAAAACTCAATCTTCCAGCTTTTAGTTTAAACTGGGCATGAGATCCCAGAAAGATTCCCTCTGCCCCCAGCATTTGGTAGGTAAATTATAATGAGTAAGAGTTACAAGTCTGGGTCCTGAAGGCCAGAAGCCCAAGTTCCAACTATCCTTCAGCCAGGATGCAAAACAGGTGTATGACAGACACTTTCTCATTGAACCATCCCATTTGATGGGGTGACACCCAAGCCCAAATACTTGGGTTCAGTACTGAGATCCAGCACTGCCCTTCCCCCTCAGCTTCTAGCCCTCCACTACCACCACCCCCTCCCAGGCATTGGGGAGGCCACTTACAGTTTTTCATAATGACTGTTTAATAAACTATGCCAAGGAACACTTTGGTATGGTTGCCACTTCAGGGAAGGAGAGCACTGGTCTACAGGCATCCCATTCTGTCCCTCGCTGTCAAGGTCGTGTACTTCATTGTTGTGACTCCTACCTGTCACTGCAAAGAAACAGGTGAGTTAGATTCTTCCTACTAGATTCTTCTTCCTAGATTCACAGACAGCTGCATGGCCATGTGTGAGGCAGAGTGACCTCGGGCAGGTGTCAAATGCTGGGAGGCAGGAGGCATGTTGCTGCCTGTGTCCTCATCAGTAAGACAAGCAACTTGGGATCAGTGACCGCTATGGGGAGGTGGTGGACACTTATAGGAAACTTCATCCTTAATATCAATCTACTACTTCTACCATGTGATTCAGAGAAGTTGACTCTCAGCCCTAGGAGGGTCTTAATGGATCAAAGTACAGTATTTGGTACTTGCATCAGAGGTGGCCACGTGGGCTAATCCAACCCAAGCAGAGTGGATCTCAGCACTTTGGGAAATGTGGGTTCAAAGGTGCTCACTCTTTTCCATGAGGTTTGAACCCATGAGATAACATGTCCAGGAGCTGCTGAGACCATTTTGGAACATGAGGGAAAAGTCCATCTGGGAATGAAGTTATGCCAGCAGAAGCAGTTAACAAAGATGGGCACCAGATCAGATGATTTGACTTGAGTTCCGTGATCCAATTGTACCCTCCTAAGAAACAGGAGCCAATAGAGCCACTGGTTTTAAAGGGTTTGTTTTGTTTTGTTGCTCTTTCTTTCTTTTGCTTTGTTGCGTATAAGGCAATTTGATGTTTTTGTTTTTGTTAATTGCAACCAATATACCCTAATTTGTTGCAGGTCTTGGTGGCACCAAGATTCTGTGGCTTTCATTACCCTTTTGAATGTAGATGAGTTATTTATTCACTTACTATCTTACTTCTCTCCATTGTAGAATATAAATTAAAAATGTGTGCTGCCCATCTTCCTAGATAGAGAATAAAATGATAAAGTGAAAACACCTCGAGAAGTTCAAACCAAGATAAAGTAACAGAGTTCTTGTTAGCATGTAATATCAACTCTATGAAATTGCCACTTTTGTTCATCAAAAATGGTCAAATAACAGCCTTTTCACATGATGACCACTATTTTTGAATAATCCCTGCAAGCTCTCTGTCTTAATCTGAATATGCCTCCCAAACTGTGCAATTCAACCTCAGATTGTGTTTATGTAAAATGCTATTGGTACATTTGCTGCTTCCCTTTTCTTCTAACACCCCTACCATCATTCATGCCTGACGTCAGGAGTGAAAGGGAAACAGTGGGCGTTGGTAAGACCAGGTGCAGGCTGGCAACAATAACCCAGAAATAGGACATTAACTTCTATTGAATGTGCCACTTAGCCCAGAGCTTGGGAAATGCAGTAGCAAAGGGATGGGTTTTCTTTTGCTCATCTAACTTTTCCTTTCTTTAGGCTTCTATTGAGGTCTTCTTGAAATAAGTAAATCAATAGACCTGCTTCCAGTTGCTTTTGATCTCAAATGTCACAGAAAATGAGATTTTCTTGGAGTATCGTCATCAAATGTCACCTAAACGAAACATGTATTTTTTTGGGTTTTTATAAGGCCAAATCTCCCATGTTAGAGAGATTTTGGAAAATCCTGAAAAACTTCTTCCCATCTAAGGACATTGGAGGTGGGCAAAGCTGGGATCTTCTCCTTCCCTCACTCCTCCAAAAGCTGCCTGTCCTAAAATCTTTTTGAAAAAGTAAATAAATAAATAAAGCCCTTCCACATTTCTGCTTCCATCAAATTCAGAGAAAGGAGGAAACCAGTGCTTCCTTCCTTCTTCATTTCTCCTACAATGGAGAGAAGGTCAAGGAAGAGTCAAAGGGTTTGAATCACAACTACCTAATGGCTGAACATTCCTAAGAAAATGATTTAAGCTGAGTTTCCATGTCCTCATGTGAAAAGTGGGAATAGCCACCTCCCACGGATGGTGTAATGATCCCATGAAGGAATAATGTCTGTGAAGTGCTTAGTCCAGCAACTGCCACAACAGCATTTAAATAACACTGCCTTTGGATATTAGTGACCCTGTCATTATCACAGTGAGGGGACTCAGATATGCTTGGGAAATGCTGCTTGGCCTCCACATAACTCTAGGTAACTATTGGCGGTACTTGGCCACAAACCAGCTAACACAGCCAGCTTCCTATTCAAGCCTGGCAACAAGGTCAATGTGCCCAGATACATGGTCAAAGGCCAGCTCCACTCCTCCAGACACTGATAGGGAGCGTGGTCAGGGGACTGGGACTATTGGCATCATCCTCAGAAATCATAGCATTTCCTGCCCTGCCTATCACAACAGCAAAGGTTTCAAAACAGTAAAAGTGACACAGTCATAGCTTTCCTGTGAGCTGTTTATCAACTGATAAGGCCCCAGGGACCACAGACCCACGCTGAAATTCCAGACAGAAGCTGAGCCTAATTCTGGGACTTATTATTATTACTAACAATAATAGCTGCTACTCTGGGTGATTTCTGTATACATGCACAGACACTTCACCTAGTATTTCACCAGCTCCTAAAGTCATCTCCAAGGTGAGGATCCTTTTCTTTTTCAATAAACTTTTTTATCTGAGTATTTTATATATAAAGAAAAGTACACAGATCATGAGTACACAATTTTATTTTCTTATGAAATGAATTCTGTGTAATGACCATTAAATCAAGCAACAGGTTGCTTCCAGCCCTCTAGGTGACCCCCCCCCTCAAAGGCCTTCTTCCAGTAAATAATTTCTCCTGTCAAAAACTGATAATTGTTCTTAAATCTAACCATACAGAGGTGTTTTTAGAAATGGAATAATATGATATGATATGTTCTATTCCTGGTCTACTCTCAGGTTGGCAGAGAGGCCACCAAACATTTCTAGAGTGGTCGTGAAGCAAAGTTTCTTAATCTCATTAACTAGTATAGAAACTGAGATTCTAAGTCCTGACAGCATTTGCCCGGTGTCATAGCTGCTGAGTGGAAGAGCTAGGGTTCGAACACTCCTCTTCCCTTCATGCAAGTCTGCGGATCTCTTGAGAAAATCTAACACAGAGAGAAACAGAAGTGTGAAGGCAGCAAATGCCTGAGTCCCACCCAGTGGAGGAAATGGAAAGCTTGCCTCTGACGCCTTTCAAAATATTGTGTGTACTTTGCTCTAAACAAATCTCAGAGATAAGTGGAAATTATTATCATTTGATAATCAAGAAAGATTATCTGAGAGTTCCCAGATGCCAGACAGATGAGACTGGCACTTTCCTGATTCTAGAAGGTGAACACAGCCAATGTACCTGTCATCATGGGCCAACAGCTCTGGCTCTGGAGCTGGAAACCCCTTTCACATATGAGGCTCAAAATATATGAAGGCTGAAGCCTCTCAGGGAGACTTTGAACCTCTTTTATTTGGTTGAGTGAGGCCAAGCACCAGCTAACAGGAGCCTGCCTACCAGTGGTTTTCTCTCTAAGTAAGATTTTACATCTGCTCCTACCAACCCAGGAATTCTACATTTAGACCTCAATAAATGGGATCTTGGAACCCTTGGCCAACATGTACCTCTTAGGAAAAGATCCAGAAAAGCCTAAATGATTGATTTAGAAATCTCCCATTAAAAATTGGCAAACCTACTGCTGCCTATAAGACTGGCAGAAGTTTCCCCTTCCTCTATTACTGTGTTCTTTCCCCAGGACCTTGTAAAAACCCCTCTCCTCTGCAACATCAGTGGGAGCTCTCCACTAAAACTTGTGCTAAAAATATAAACTGTAATGAAAACATGGCATTTGGATTAACTAAGTCTTTGCCTTTGTCTCCCTGCCTCCCTCTGGCCCTGGGGACCTGCTCATTTTCATTCTTGAACAGTTGTCTGGAACCAATTATCTTTATCAGCTTTTTTACTGACCTTTAAATGGGACTTCAGGGTTTCCTATGTGTTGAAACATTTCAGTTACTCTCCCAGGACTTGAAGATGGTAAAAAAAAAAAAAAAAATCAATGCCCTGTCTGGGATAGGCAGCAGAAAAACCATCACAGGATGGAGCTTAACTCTGGGAGTGGCCAGAGCAACAATCCAGTCTGTTGAGGAAACTCTTGGAAGGTTTGAGTGACTTTGAGCTGGTGCATCTGGAGGAAAGTGAACAGATGGTTCCCCTGTCTGGCTAGAAATTTGTTCAGGCTTTATGTTTGAGAATCATAAAGAAGCTGCAGGCTAGGTGTAGGGATCCCTGAAGAAACTAGGGTATCTTTGCTTAGGAAGGTGGACAAAGAGCTCTATGTCATCAAAAGGTGGGGCTTTACTTAGCATTTTGTTTTTTCTAGGAAGAAGGGGTTAGATGTCAGTTATGGTGGATCCATGTAAAAGGTGGATCTATGTAAGAGGTTCACTTTTACAAAGCTGGGTACTCAGTGCAGTCATGACATAGCACTCCCAGGGAATGATGATATGTGGGATTTGGCTGAGGGGGTGACATCATTGTCCACTGAAGGACCCCCACAGCCCACACTGAAGCTGAAGCCAGACATCCCTGAAAGGACTAGCTCCAACTAGGGGTGGCTAAAGACAAAGGAAGCAACTTCAGGTGGTGAGAAAGCCACCTTTCAGAGTGGTGTAATCCTCTAGAGCTCAGGGACAGGAGTAGGAGTAGGAGCCCCAAGAGGAAAACTTGTTGTCCTGGCCAAGATGACTCATGGGGAGAGAAGAGATTCCCAACCCCTGAATTTGGGGCACCGTTCACACTGCCTGCATATGAGCATTTACAGTAGCTAATAAATTTGGCCTGGAGTATTATCCTTTTCCCTAGCAAATGCTATGGCAAATGCTAAAGAAATTTCTGAAAATTCAAATCCTTAGACTCCCAAAGACCAAATTGTTCCCAACTTGATCAGGTCTCTAAGCTCAAAGCACAATGCATCACATTTTAGATAAAATAAAATTAAAAAAAAAAAAACAGGCTGACCACTTGGGCATCAGATGGAAGATTTCTAATATGATTTTACATAACTTCAAAGATCAATCAGAAACCTGCCAATGTGATTTGAGTGTAAAGAAAGTTCAACTCTCTACTTTCCTTCCATTGGAGAAATACTCTAAAGTCTTGCTTTTTGGGAGGTCTTCTGTGAACCCATAGTATTGGCCTCATCTGGGTACTCAGGTCTCAGACTCCAGCTCAGATTGATTGAGTCCGAATCTTCATTTTACCAAGACCCCTGAGTTAATCTATGCACATTAAATTTGAGGAGAACTGCACTCAAGAAAGCAGTGGGCACACCAGAAGGCCTGCAGCCTGTCTTCTTAGACACAGTGCTCCTGAAATTGAAAGACTGGCATTTCACTTGCACCAGAAGGACAGAAAGTCAACCTTTCCTGGGAGCACCTATGTGACCCCACCTGCATGAAGAACATCAAGAAGGAAGAAATTAACTCCCAGAGCCTATCATTGCCCTCCATGAGAGAGAACATAATTTTGTAGGATTGCTCAAAGGTCTGTAAAAAGCTTTGATCCAATGGCCAAGACACTGAGGTCTTTGACTTTGTCACAGCCAGATTTGCTCACATGGTCTGGAATGGTGGGCCCACACTCTGCAGTCCTCTGAGTCATCCAATATCTGTGTGTACTTTCTCTTCTTGGCTGGAGGCAATGAGGCTCTAAAATCAAGGAACCAAAAGGGAGGTTAGGCTTCTTTGCTCAACATGTTACATTAAATCCAATTTAATTTCCCAGGTCTCTACTCTGGACTTTCCTAAATCTAATGCCTGTTAAGATTACTTGAACCCTATTAGTCTGAAACTTAGTTTTGTTTTATCCAATGAACCTGATATTCACCTTCCTGAAAAAAAATAACCTTACAACTTTCAAAAGGCAGAGGACTCAGAGACTTCAACTACAGGTGCAGGTTTTACACCTGAGCATGTTTTCAATGTAGAGTTTTACCACCATTTTTGATAATTCTTCCTTTCTTTGCCACCTTCTAGACCTAGAAGACGGAATAAAAAGGAGAAAAGCAAAAGAAAAGAATATTCCTTAATGTTTGATTGACAGTTTTCCGAGAGCTCATTTACAAATCCCCTTGAGTCGTCTGGCTGAGCCTGCGTAAGCACACGGATCCCTCCGTTACCTGGAATCTCCCTACAGATTTCTGACATTTCAGCTTTTGGTTGAATGAGGACCTTGGGTTTAGTGGGTTTTTAATTAAAAGATGGTCTAAGCCAGGAACCCGGGCCCCGCCGGGGCCTATCTGCGTCTCAACACTGCCATCTGCTGGAAAGGCTCGGGCTGCCCGTTCTCTAGGTCACAGGGCAGCGGGCTGCGAGGTCTCTTGTAACTAAATATCTTGAGCTTTACCCGGAGACGTGGCACAACAGCTGCTGATGGTAAGAACAACTTGTCCCCAGATGGGAAGACCCGGATTGGTCCTGAGCAGTGGCAGGATGACCCGTGTTTGGGTAGCAGTTGTGAAAGCTGCCCGGGCTTCGGCCGGAGTCGCTCCTTGCAGACGTGCCCTGCGCCGGGTGCGCAGGCAGCATCCCAGGGGCAGCTGCAGCTGCCGAGTGGAGGAAGGTAGCCCGATTCTGCACAACTGCTGGCCTCAGGGTCCAGGAGCACGCGCCTGGGGGAAGACACAATCAAGGGCCTAGTTTTCTTGCTACTCTGAGTCCGAGAATAGGGACAGCACAAGATGTGCGGCAGGTGGGTCGCACTCACCTTTGACCTGCGGAGGAGAGCAGGGGTCTGATGCAGAATAGGGTGGGGTATCTGGGAGCTGGCGTTGCCTGAGGATTAGAGACATGGGTTGCTTTTGTTTTGTTTTGTTTTACACTATTCTGTGATACTTTTGTCAAGAACAGAGGCAGCCCTCAGTGAACAGAATCCACATGATGGTTCCAGGTGAATCCGGGGGTTGAGGAGCAAAGCCCATCAGAACATGCCCAGTGTCCTGTGTCGTAGCTAGGTGACCCGGGCTTTGAGTTCCAGTTTTTGTACTCCCTAACTGTGTATCCATGTACAAGTACTTAAGTTCTCCAAAACTCCATTTCCTCACCTACAAGACGGCACCAATTATTACACCTGCTTCACAGTGTGGTTGTGAGAATTGAGATGATGTCCCTAAAGCCCACGACATAATACCGGGAACAGAACCGGTGTTCAAGAAAATTTAATGAGTGTCGTTTTGTTCCGGACATGCTTACACCATGAAGAGGGCTGCTCACACTGTTTGGGCTAATGCCATTTTTTTTTTCCCCCAGTGGCTTTCCATCTATATCTGAGGAATCCCAAAGTTTTTGGAAGGAGCTCATAGGTTTTACAAAAGAACATTTTGTAAATATTTCTGGTGGGAAAATAATTATTTGTTTCTGTTTTATATATCAAGGTGAAGTGCAACTTCATTTTTCACCACTAAAACCATGAAAACCTCTGTTATGAAAGACCTACGAGTTCCTTACAGTCAAAACCTCTTATTCTACCTCTCACACAAGCATCACCACCTCTGCTAGATTCTCTTGCTTGAAGAGTAAGTTATATTGTTTTTTCCCAGTTGATTAAGATTCCAGTAAAATACAAAGAGAAAAGTTTGTTTTTACCATTTACTAGAAAAGTTGATTCCTCCAACTGATTCCTTATTATTTGGATATACATTTACTTTCCTCTAAAACACCAACCAAATAAATGCAAATACAGAAGCATAAACACAAAAGGATATAGAGAACTTGAATAGAGACCACAGCAGACCATATTTCAAAAATAGGGCAGTGGACAAATAGGATGGGTAGGAAATGAATTAGCAGAATGGAAAAAAAGCAAAAAATGCCTGGAGATGGGAAATGACATGGGAGTCAACGATAAGGAACCCAATCAAACAGGACTCCAAAAAGCCCAGGACACTGGAGGTACCTGGAGCCTCTTAAGTAAGGGATAAGAGTGAGGCTGAAAACAGAAAACTTAGTTGAAGTTTTGATTAAGAAACAATTGGGCCTTTGGATCAGCTTCCCCACCCATCACCCCAACATAAGTTGGAAAGGTTTATTCTTTGGAGAAATGGAACCAGGGACACAGTAGTACAAGGTGACCAGGCACAGTTAAGACCAGCTGCTGGCTGAATATGAAGGGATGCATTAAAAATCTAAATGTAGCCAAGCACAGTGGCACAGGCCTATAACCCCAGTGGGTTGGGAGGCTGAGGCAGGAGGATCACAAGTTCAAAGCCAGTCTCAGCAACTTAGTGAGGCCCTAAGCAACTTAGCAAAACTCTTTCTCAAAAGATAAAAAGGTCTGGGGGTGTTGCTCAGTGGTTAAGTGCCCCTGGGTTCACTCCCTGATACCATCACCAAAAAAAAAAAATCTAAATGTAGAATTGTGAGACCCTTCCTCAATTCTGCTTTGCATGCATCCAAGCAGATTTCCCAAAAAAGAAATTGGAATACCATTCTCAAGAAAAATTATTCAGGGAGGGAAGAAAATATTTTGAAGTTACAAAGGAATTTGCTAGCCCTTATCTGATCACTCTACATTGAAGTCCATCCTTTCATAATAATGGTGAGCACACAGAACTTCTTAAACAAGAACAAACATATAAAACCAGATATTTTCAGAAAGCCTTTAACCCTAAAGACAGAGAACCAACAACTAAATAAATACAAATGCAAAAGAATCAGCAGGGATTGTGGCTCAGCAGTAGAGCACCCTGGGTTCCATTCTCAGCACCACATAAAAAATAAGTAAATAAAAAGGTATTGTGTCCAACTACAACTGAAAAATAAATTAAAAAAAAATCAGCAACTGCTCTGATATGGCTCCTACCAGACCTGATTTTCCCAGAAAGGGGGGGGGGGACTATTAAAAAAAATACTGCCGGTCGTGGTGGTACACACCCATAATTCCACCAGCTTGAGAGGCTGAGGCAGGAGGATGGAGAGTTTAAAGCCAGCCTCAGAACCCAGTGACACCCTGTCTCTAAACAAAATATAAAAAAGGGCTGGGGCTGGGGCTCAGTGATTGAGCACCCTGGATTCACTCCCCAGTACCAAATATATATTTGGTACTGGGGAGTGTATATATATATATATATCCAAAGACAATGGAAAGTGGATAAAAGAGCAACAAGACTCTGGAGGAACATTGAAATTTTGAAGAAGGCAATGGCAGAGAGTGAGTTACCTGGTTACAGCTTTTTGCCTGAAGGCTGATCAATGTTAGAACATAGAATAGATAAAACATCAATAAAAACCCACAATTATTCTGGCCTGAAGAACAAGAAAACAGAGTTTGGGATAGACATGGCTGGTGAAAAAAAAAATTTCAAGGGAAATATTGGAAAATAGAGGTTCAGAGAGAGGGAACCCGGATTCTGTGCGTAACCGCCCAAGTCTCTTGCTGAGCCAAACCATGGATATGTGTGTGGGGCAGGAACAGAAATGTAGGCTACTTCCCAAGAGACAGTTTATGGTTTGAGTCTAAGCAAAGCAGTTGCCTACTAAAACAAGAAATTCACTCTTCAGAGAAATATGAAAGAATCCCTGTGTTCCGGGACAGCAATGTATATTGATGGTTTTAAAATCGAGATTTAAAAATTTTATTTTTTCCTTATAATTTACTCTCCAAACTTAACCACGGCTTCTTTTTTATTTCATGGTAATTTAATTGTTTCCATACTCAATGCAATTTAATATATTTAAAGAAATTTTGCAGTTCTTTTCAGAGAATTTGAAGGAAGGATTAATGATAGTTTCCTTCAAAACTAAGCAAACTGTTAAAATCAAGGGTGTTGATGAACCTCAAGAAAAACACTGTTATTTGAGATTGTTCTGCCCTGCTGAGTCCTCTGGACTCAAACTCACAACCATTGTGCTGAGTCTTGCACGTATAATCTCGCCTCCTCTTTACAACCCCCATGTAAAAGGGTACTGTTATTATTCCTAATCCACAGGTGATGAAACCTAGGTTAAGATTATTCATCCTGCACTACTCTCCACACTGGAGATGGAGGTTCACCACCAGAGTTTACCCCTAAATATCAGGATGTAAATGCAGACCATCCTAATCCAATTAATTATTACAGGTTATTTTGTTTTGCACAAATATATCCTTAGAGTGGAGGAGTACAGGTAATGCATTGGCCCAATCTTCCTCTTTCTGCATTAGTTTGAACCCAGGAGTCAAGTCAGCCAATGATCTCAGCTATTAATAAGTTCTTCTCAAGAACAACTTGTACCTCACGCCCTCTTGCGACATCACACTAAAGAGCTTATGGGCCCTCTCCGCAGGTGGCAGAATTGAGACATGCAGCTGGCAATCAGCTCCTAGTTCTTTATGCCATTCAACCCCAATAAGCCAGGTCCTAAGTAAAATCCTAATATCAGATGCCGAAGCTCATCCATTAGAACGAAATAAAATGAAACCTAGAGCAGATTCCTTCATGACTTCATGTGTCTCTACATAACCCCTTCTTAGGAAGTCGCCTATTCAAACACCCTCCCCCCAGGTAACTCAGTGCACTCATTTGGTTCCCTCTTACCCTGTAGGTAGGGCCTCAAGGCCAACCTAAAGCTCATGAGGATATCGACCCCCATCCAGCATACTTAAGCAAACTAAACTACTAATTGTACATGTGCTACATATCCTTTCTACCTGTCGTTGACAGTGATCTTGTAAGATTATACCTGCTAAAGACATCGTAGCAACCTATGATACTCAAATTTTCCTGTGTGTGATTGATGTGAGTATACTCCATGTTGTTACATGTTCTTGGAATGTATCCTCAACGTTAAGTGATATGTGACTGTATCGGCTTGGAACTTGAGAGGTGGGCGGGGGAGGCGTGTTCATGTGACCTAATGCAGAGCTTCTCAGACCATAATATGGATATGAAACCCACAGGAATCCTGTCAAAATGTTGATTCTGATCCAGCGTTTCTGTGTGAGGCCTGAAATGCCACACTTTTAGCACCCAGGAGATACCAATGCCACGGCTCTCTGGCTCCTACTTTGTGTACAGGAAAGCAGCAGGTGAACTCTGGGCAATTTTTTTCTCCCCAAGGAAATGAAGCCTGTCTTGCATAGCTGCTAGCCTCTTTTTCCAGAACTTTCCTTTCTCTACACACTCTCTCACACACAATCTTGTGTATTTTCCACTGCACCCTCTGGAGTTTCTTGCTGCCCCTTACATTTCTTGCTCCCTCTTTCCAAACAGCATTCCACATCTGGACACTTCCCAGGACATCCCGTCACTCCAGCTCACCTATGAAGAGTTATGGAAAATAATAATCGTACAAAACAACCCCCAAAGAGAAGCTGAGAGATAATGCAGCTCAGGAGGAGGGAGTGGAAACTAGCTAAGCATTGACCTTCCAGTAAATCCTTTCCTGATAACCTCGGGTGAATACTGAATATTAGGCTCTGCATTTTGACCTTCCCCCATTGCAAATTCGTCCTATTTACACACAATAAATACTGAACAATGGGCCCTGAAGGATGGAGGCAAATACTGAAACCCTGGAACCAGATAATAAATTCCAGAAGAAGAAATACCCACCCTCACAATCTGGACTCCTATCTCTCCAGGTAACAATGAATTTCAACCTTTTACAGCTGCCCTCCTGAGTTAAAAGTTTTAACCTTCATAACTAGCCCCTGACTGTCCAAAGGGCACACCCACAAGTTCCAATGATGAAACTCCCTAATTGTTCCCTATAAAACCAAAATCCCCTCTGTAATCGATGGCCATTTTCGCATCCAGAAAATGAGTCCCCACGCCGCCCAAGTCCTTGAAGAACAA